TTTATTATTATTATTATTTTTAATTTTATTTTAAAGCCTGTCATTTTTCTAGACATTTTAACCCAACCTTTTCACCCACAGGAGCAGAGAGGTTCCCAAAGTGCCTGTCTGGGGGGGATTGAGGCCACCCATAGCCCCCACAGGGCTAGCTGGCAGTGATGCCCAGGGCAGGGTGTCAGCTGGAGGTCCTCTGTGCAGGATGACTTCTCCATCCCACCACCTATGGCCCACGTGCAGATGAAGCTGCCTCTGCCCATCCCATCCCCAGCCACTAATGGGGCTCATTTATCTGCAGCCACTAACGACGTTCCCCAACACACACACACAGAGAGGGCTCCCCTGGGATGACTTTCCCCAAGATGAAGCTTGCTTTGCTCTCTTAACCTTCCCTCTCAGGTCAAGTCCTTCATCATTTTTATTGCTCCCCCATGGGGGCCAAGTCCTTTTTCTTCCTGGGAAGCGTGGCGCTGAGCTCAGCCAGCACGAGCCACCCAGCCCTTTCCTCCTTTATAGAACCCAGCAGCCAGATTTTGGGGTCTGGGCTGTGGAGCCCTCCTGGCTTAACCCCAAATCCTCTCCCAGAGCTGGGCAGGTGAAGGGTTGTGCCTCGGTGGTGGTTCTCCCACCTGGATTCCTCCTGAATCCTTCCCTATTGACTCCAGCCCTGTTCCGGCAGCGCTTGTGATGGGAGCTGCGTTCAATTCCTGTCCTCTGAAGCATCTGAGATGGCTCTCAGGGCTTTTGATCAATGCAATTTTGATCTCTTGTTCAACATCTGAGCTACACACAAACCAGTGAGCAGCATCAGCTCCTCCATGCTGTTAAATACCTGGGCTCCCAACTTGAAATATCGAACTGTTACTCTCCGCTTTCCATTTCTGACTCTTTTTTTGCCCACTTCTCCTCTGTCTCTCCCTGTTGCTGCCTAAATGGCATTCCTCTTGCTGTGATAATCTGTTCGAGGTGCTTCTCCACGTGAGCACTGGAGATATCTCACCATCTCCCAGTCGTTAAAATAAGTCCATCTTTGCAGATGGGTCTGCGCGTGCTCCGCGTGGGGGTTTTTGGAGACTGAATGGTTTTGTGGCATTGGAGGCCTCATCCTCAGCCACAAAACCCCTCTCTAGCCAACAGTGCAGGTGGTTTGTGTTGCTGAGGAGGAGTCTGACCTCAAATCAAAGCAAGCTGTGGAGACTAAATCCCTCCTAAGCTGGGAGGGGATGGGTGGACAGGCAGATGTGGCACGTCCTCCGTGCTGGAGACCCCCGGGGCTGAGCATAACATTTTGGGCGAGTCCCAGCCCTGCTTCAAACACTGTCCTTCTCCTCAGGTGTCCCCTCTGGGCCCCGAAATGTCATCTCCATTGTCAACGAGACGTCCATCATCCTGGAGTGGCACCCACCTCGGGAGACAGGGGGCAGGGACGACGTCACCTACAACATCGTCTGCAAGAAGTGCCGGTCGGACCGTCGGGCCTGCTCCCGCTGTGATGACAACGTGGACTTTGTCCCCAGGCAGCTGGGGCTGACAGAGACCCGGGTCTTCATCAGCAGCCTGTGGGCACACACGCCCTACACCTTCGAGATCCAAGCTGTCAACGGGGTGTCCACCAAAAGCCCCTTCCCCCCGCAGCACGTCTCCGTCAACATCACCACCAACCAAGCCGGTGAGGCGTTGAATCGATTGTCAGGGTTGGAAGGGAACTGAAAGAGCATCTAGTTCCAACCCCCCTGCCACAGGCAGGGATATCTCCCACTAGATCAGGTTGCTCAGAGCTCAACCTGGCCTTAAAAGCTTCCAGGAGTGGGGCTTCCACCACCTTCCAACCTGTTCCAGTGTCTCACCACCCTCACGGTGGAGAACTTCTTCCTAATGTCTAATCTGTATCTACCTACTTCTGGTTTTGCTCCATTTCCCCTAGTCCTGTCACTACCCAACATCCTAAAAAGTCCCTCACCGGCTTTCCTGTAGGCTCCCTTAAGATACTGGCCTGTAGGCTCCCCTAAGATACTGGAAGGCCACAATAAGGTCACCTTGGAGCCTTCTCTTCTCCAGACTGAACAGCCCCAACTCTCTCAGTCTGTCCTCATAGGAGAGCTGCTCCAGCCCTCAAATCATTCAGGCCAGGGGAAGAGGGAGGGAGGTGAAGGGGGTGGCTGCACCCTGGGCAAAGTTAGATCTGGCTTGGGGGAGGGAAGGGGGTGAGGACTGAGCATGGATTTTTATCCCCCTCTAGATTGTTTGAGGATGCAATGGAGTCACCATTCCTCCCTTTTCCCAGGCAGGAACAGGGAGATGGGGTGAATCCAGCCTGGAGGGAGCAGCATCCCAGGGCTGAGCTCAGGCTCCATCTCCTCTGACACATTCTTCTCCCATCATTTTCCTCTTGTCCCCTTTTCCAGGCTCCCCAGCCTCTTTTCCCTCCCTCTTCCCTCCCAGACATCAGGAGCTGAAGCTTTGTTTCAGCTTTGGGCCGAGCTGGGGTGTTGGTGGGGTTGGGTGGGCAGATGATGAGGGGAGACCTGGTCCCAGGCTGCAGTGAGGAGCACAGGGAGAGGAGGGGATGGAAACCCATCTGTTTGGGGCAGAAAAAGGGGATGGTAATTTCTGCTGCATGCCAAGCAGGCAGCCTTCACCAGCCCTCTCCCTCAGGGACAGCACAGTGGAGAAACATGGTGTCAATATTTCAGTCTCCCACCTCTGGGGAATCCAAATCTGTGCTTTAGCTTTGCAGTGGGATTTTCCATCCCTTTCCCCATGCAGGGCTGGATCCAGGCTGGTTGGTGCCATCTCACCC